CCCTCAAGTCATGTCTGACGCCGCGCAATAGAATTCCGTGCGCTCACATCTATCTCATGCTGCTTTCTTGCTGTCCACGCTAGCCTCTTCTCGACCTGCGACTAAAACAATACTGGCGAGAGCGTGGTTTGGATGGTCCTAGCCGCGTGTCGCTCCGTCGCGGTCAAAATTTGCAATGGCCAATGCTCCAGCAAGCTGTAGCTGGTGGTTATTTGATGGTATCCAAGAAAGCACCCTTTGAAACACATTGCCTTTTCCTCCTTCAAATAATTTCTGCATGGATTCATCTGGAGGTAAATGAAACAAATGGCTAAATAAAAGAAAAATAAGAATAACAAATCCATATTCCTGAGTATCCAATTGGGAAACTACATACCCCACAAACTTAATTTATAATAGGAAAGGTAATGACTTTTTGTTCTGAGCCTTTAGTAGAGACCAGAAAACAGTTAAGAGTTTTTCTAGTCTAAGTCCCAGATGGACATCCAGTTTTCAGTCCTTTAGCGCCACAGCAATCTCCTCTATATGACTGTTCTTAAAATACGGGATGATAGCTTGCTTTCTTTGGTTCAGTATCTCTTGTCCTCTCATTGATGTGTTTAAGGTTTCAAGATCATCACATCAACAGGATGTGTGATAGAAAAATGAAAAGCTTCCTGGTATAGTATCTATAGAAGAGATTTCATACACTAAAAATTATCTGACAATCATGTTCTGTGGGTGGCCTAAGTTACAACTCACCTCCAAGAAGTAATAAAACCATTAGATCTGAAGCAGTTTTGAGCTCAGCAATATCATCCTCTTTGTCACTGTCCACCTTCTGCTGAACAATCTCTAGCAGGCACTCTACCAGGCCTGCTTCAACCAGCTGCAATTTAATGGCATCTGAAAAACAATGTGAACAAAACCAAAATATGCAATTAAACAGGAGCTCTCAAATTAGCAATCCATTATTAAAAAACAGAACAAAGTAAACACAAGACTTACATAACACATCTTTGGGAATTTGAGTTTCAAAAGGAAGCACCCGACTCTGCAGTTTAAATACATAATAGCTTTATTTCATTTTTCTGTTCGTAGTTATATCACATTCCATGATGTCATGCAACACCCAAACAAGTCAATTCTCAGCTCTGAAGGCAACTAGTATCCATTATTATTCTAAAGGTTATGCTTATGTTTAGAAAGTCAATACTATAAAAGATTACATATCAAATATGCCTGTAATATACATACCTGTTACATAAAAGTTAAAAATACATCCCCAATGTGTCTCGCATATAAAGTTATTGAAAAGTAATGATGGGCTGGCACTGTGGCATAAGTAGGCTAAGCCTCCGCTTCCGGTGCCTGCATCCCATATGGGTGCAAGTTCAAGTACTGGCTGCTGCACTTTCAATCCAGCTCCCTGCTAATGGCCTGGGAAAGTAGTGGAAGATGGCCCAAGTTCTTGGGCCTCTGTACCCATGTAGGAGACCTGGAGGAAGCTCCTGGCCTCGGATTAGCCAAGCTCCAGCAGTTGCGGCCACTGGAGAGTGAACCAGCAGATGGAAGACCTCTCTCTCTCTTCCTCCCTCTCTCTATAACTCTGCATCTCAAAGAAATCTTAAAAAGCTATTAATTTCAATCTACATCCTCTAAGTATATTTGGATTCACATTTGCATAGATGCCATTTTTCTATTGTAATTAATCTACAACTTTATTAACTTTGAAAAGTAATGTTTTTAAAAAGGGCTTCAGGATTTACTTAATTTAAAACTTTCTTGGGTATGAGTATATGGTGCTTTATCATACTAAATTCTACTTTTAAGTATGTTTTAAAATGTTCCAAATAAAAGTTGAAAGAAATGACTGTAAAGCTCTCTGATGGGTAACCAACAAAATAAGGTTTTATAAAAAGAGAATTTATCCCAAATATATTTTAAAAAATGATCTTCATCACAGCAAACTCCACCACCAAATCAATGCTTAGTCTTTCATTATAACATTTATTTCATTGCAGATTTTATATTCATATCCATATTTGTATCCCATTCATATTAGATTTAAATTTATCTATGAAAATGCTTTGGATGTAATGATACTCCTTAACATAAAGACTGATCAACTGACCTTAGAAATACATTTGCTATACAGAAATTTTTAAATGTAAATTTTACTTTATTTATTTAAAAGAGTTAGAGGTCTTCCTCTCTGGTACATTCTCCAAATGGCCACAACAGCTGGAGCTGGGCCAGCCTGAAGCTGGGAGCCAGAAGCTTCTGGGTGGAAGGTGGCCCAAGGATTTGGGCCACCTTCCACTGCTTTCCCAGTCTTAATTGCAGGGAGCTGGATCATAAGTGGAAGAGCCAGCCGAGACTCAAAACATGCGCTCACATGGGATGCTGGAGTAGCAGGCAGCGGCTTTACTGGCTACACCACAATGTCAACCCTGAATTTTACTTTTTAGTTGCCTTACACTGCAGTCATTGGTTTCCTGAAGCTGTATATGCACATAGTCTCAAAGATAGCAATAGCAGTTTCAGCTTGTCACTTGGGAGAAAGATTTATACACACACACTTAAGACTTTGTCTTTCAGGCAAACAATGTGTAAAAATTTAGCTTTTTTCTATCACTAGAGTCACTGAATTTTCTTTGGAATGTTGTTTCAGAATATTCAACCTGGAATATTTGTCTTTTTTAAAGGCACATTCGCACTGTGCCATGCTGCAAGTAGGGCGTTTCCTTGGTTACAGAATGCTAAGGTTAGAAATATGTGGCAACTAGAATTTAAAATCATGATGCAAAAGTCTTATATTTTAAAAACCCTAAACAAATCTCAACTTTAATATCAGAATTACTCTCCTTTGCATACATAGGAAATTAGCAAAAGCTTAGTTTAAAAGCAAGTTTTTTGAGAGGTGGAGGGAAAAAACAATAAATGCACACACTTATTTTGAAATATGATAAGGAAGGTTACAGGTAATACTCTAGCATAAAACTGACAGAAAATTACAATAAAATTTTCATCTTGCCAAACTACCAAATGAATTTCTCCCTAAAGAATAAGACTTAAGGCATTTAGAAAATTTAAAATATGTCAAGATTAACGTTTACAGTTCTCTATTCTCAGTCTTGACTATAGTGACAGGAGAATTTAAATGGCCTTAATTGGGATTAGTAAGGCATTGTGGCAAACCAGATTTACCAACACCAATCTGAAGAAATCTACCTTCATTACCTCCACTTTCATACATATACTTTGTATACATACATTGGTGTATGTCTGTATCATATATGTGTATATATTTAAAAATTTTTATTTTTACATTTCATCTGCAAGAGAGACATTAATCTTCCATCTGCTAGCTCATTCCTCAATTGCCCCCATCAGCCAGAATTTGGCCAGGCTAAAGCCAAGAACCTGGAACACCATCCAGGTCTCCCACATGGGTGGCGAAGGGCCCCAGCCTTTTGCCATCATCTGCTGTATCCCAGGATGCATCAGCAGGAAGCTCAATGAGAAGCAGAGTACCTGGGAATTGAATTGGCATTCTGATATGGTATACGGGCGACCAAAGTGGCAGCTTAACCTGATACAACACAATGCCTTCCTTGAAATCTTTCTTTAAATGGTGAAGAAAGGCCACAGATGTAGAAAGTTGATACAATATGCAAATCAATGGTTAGAAAGCAAATAACCATGAATCTGTCTCCCAGATCAAGAAATTCATTGCCAACAACCTGAAGTTCTGATAAGCACTCCCCTTTCTTACAGTCCCCTCCCCCTTAACCCCCCTTTAATCACTACCCTGATTGTTATGTAACCACATCTATACTTTTATTGTTTCACCAAATCATCTCTATAAACTGATTTAATTTTACCTCTTAAAAACTTTACATAAATAGAATGTTATTTCTTAGTGTAAGCTTTTTCAACAATTTATAAGATTCATCCATACTTAATGGCTATAGCTATCTTCATTCCTTTTCCTAACTCTATTTTTCCATTGTATAAATGTGCCATGATTTATTTATTCATTCTGTTAATAGATATGGATTGGTTTCAACTTTTTATCATTATAAATAATATCGCTTTAAAAATTCCTGTAATGGCTCTTGGTGCACATATTTTCTGTATATATTCCTGGAAATCAGAATTGCTAGATCAGAGGGATGCACAGCTCTAACCACAGTACATACTATTTTCTTAACTGTATCAATTTATATTCCCATTAAAACTTACTCCACATCTCAACAACACCTGATTTTATCAGAATTTTCAAAAGGTATACAGTGTTATTTTGGTTTTTTATTTTTTTGTTTTTGCATGACCTGATTATTATAAAATTGAGTATATTTTCATGTGTTTATTAAACAGTTAAGTTTTATCTTTTTTTTTTTTTAAGATTTATTTATTTGAAAGAGTTACACAGAGAGAGTAAAGGCAGAGAGACGTCTTCCATCCAACGGTTCACTCCCCAAATGGCCGCAATGGCCAGAGCTATGCTGATCTGAAGCCAGGAGCTTCTTTCTGGTCTCCCACGTGGGTGCAGAGGCCTAATGACTTGGGCCATCTTGTACTCTTTCCCAGGCCATAGCAGAGAGCTGGATCAGAAGTGGAGCAGCTGGGTCTCGAACCAGTGCCCATATGGGATGCTGGAGCTTCAGGCCAGGGTGTTAACCCACTGCGCCACAGCGCCGGCCCCTAGGTTTTATCTTTTGTCAAGTGCCTATTCAGATCTTTTACATTTTTTCCCACTGAGCTTTCTACATTTTTCTTATTGATGTGTGGGAGTTTTTAGAAGTATACTGTACACTTTGAGGCCTTTGCTGGGTTGTAAATATAGTCTTTGGCCCACTCTTAGTTTTCACTCTTAAATGGCATCTTCGAATAATGTAGGCAATCTACCAATATGGAGCTCTTTGTGACCTAAGCAAACTTTCTGTACTTCAAGGCCACGGTGATATTGTCCTGTGTTATATTTTCAGGAAAGCTTTTTGGGCATAACTTTCACATTTAAGCCAATAATCACCTGGAGTTAATATTCTACATAGAAGGACAGAAATCTAATTCATATTAATTTAAAAAAACTCATCTAGAAAACTGATCTCTAAACTGAGTATATATAATCATTTACAAATAATAATAATATTCTTTCTTTGCTACATTCTCTCTTTCATTCTTCCACTTCAATGTACTCATAGCTCCTATACAAGATTAAGCAGGAACTGGGATAATCTTTATTCCCAGTCTCCAAGGGAATACTTTTTTATTTCACCTCTGATGTTTTCTGTAGGCTTCTCGTAGGTATCTCTTTCTGATTAAAGACAATTCCTCCTAATACTGGCTTCCTAAGAATTGTTAAAATCATGAATGGACAATTAATCTTATCAAATCCTCTTTCTTCCATCTGAGATCATGATTTTTCTCCTTACATGTTTTAAGGTGATGAATTATCTCAATTGCATTTTGAATATTAAACTGCATTACATTTTCAGAATGAATACAATCTGGTATGTTCAATTTAAGAACATTACTGGAGTTGATTTGCTAGATCTATCTTCATGATGAGATTGGTCTTTTATTTACATTCTTGTATTTTCTCTGTTGGGACTTGATATGAATAAAGAATTTTTTAAGAAAACTTTAATAAATATAAATTTCAAAAGTACAACTTTTGGATTATAGTGGTTTTCACCCCATAACCTCTCTCCCACCCACAAACCATCCCATCTCCTACTCCCTCTCTGATCCCATTCTTCATTAAGATTCATTTTTAATTATCTTTATATACAAAAGATCAACTTAGTATATACTAAGTAAAGATTTCAACACATTAATTTAAGAAAAGATTGTCTAATTTTTCTAGTATCACCCACATTTCTAAATGCATTGGCATC